TAAGGGTTTGTTTGGCTAAACACTTAAGGCAAAATATATTTGAACAAATCTATGCAATTCTACAAAATTCGAACAGAGAATCCACGTAAAAAGAAAATGCAAAGAAGATTTAATAGTTCAAAATCTCTCAATCGAATCCACCATTTGAGTATAATAAATGTTTAATTCTCGTGCCTAATCAAGAGAATGAATATACGCAATTCTACAGAATTTGAACAAAGGATCCTATGATTTTTGACTGTTATACTACTATTGATTAAAATATTCTGAGAAAATTTACTAAGATCGAACCAAATCTTTCAAATAATTCTGAAATGTCATTACTTGCCAATCTACATTTCAATTCTGAAATTACCAATACTTTGAAAGCACTATTCCTATATTGTTTACCGTAATTTGAAAACACAATTCCTATATTAGTACTATGACATTATTCAAAAATCTCCATACCTCCAAATCCCGGAATAATCCCAAGCTGCAGTTCTGGTAAACTTAGTTGTGCATTAGGAGTAGATATGCGGGCATGGTAACCCTGAAAGCAAGACAGCAAAGGTCATCACACAAATTCAATAGGAAAGTATAAGGAACTGAAACAAATGGGAGAGCTCACCATTGCCACTTCTAATTATCCACCCAATTCAAGACCATCAATAGCGGCTACTGAGGGTTTTCTTGCAGCTGAAAACAAAGACACCCATGAACAAATAAAAAAATATAAACAAATAAAATTAAGAAAAACAAATCCTATGCTACAACATACGTTACTAAGGCCTGACTGATTATAAAACCCAATAATTTACCTGTCACAGTATCACATAGAATTTCCATTGACACAAAACCTGGCTTCGATGCAGCAACCGTGATCAATACATGGTCCTATTAGCAAAGAATTGATGAGGCACAAAAAAAAAAACTTCACGTAAAAGCAAACAAATAACATGTACCATTTCCTCCTTGGATTTTACCAAACGCACTGATATCAAATCCACCAGAAAACTTGCCTTGTGCACCTGTTGAAACATTATAAATTACCTTCTACATTTTAGTTATCTCCTATGCATAATATAAAACAACAATCTATCATCATTTACCTGTGACGACAATTGCCTTAACGTCATCTCTTCTCGAGGCTTGATCATAACTCTCCTTTAAGCTATTTAATACTGGAAAAAGGAAGAAAATGGAAGTTAAGTGAACAAAAGAAACTAATAACTAACTGCAACCTACAGACTGATCATCTCTCTACCCCCAGCCCCTCCTCTCGTGTTTGTAGATGCAGGCTCTTGCATATTCTACTTTAGTTGCTGGGGGGAAGGGAAGATACTCATAAGTTGTGGCCCTATGATTTGCTTTGGGTTTTGTATATGGTGAGTGTGTTTTGTGTAGGGGTTGGGGGGAATTAGCCATCTCTGTAGATAGCAATATGAGATCAAATTAACAGCTATCACTTGTTATTAATCTTTTTCAAAATGCAAACTTCGATCTGTAAAGCCTAACCA